TACACCTGAAGAAAAATCCCCACAGTAATCGGGTCCAGCCGGGGTAGGGTAGAAAGCAAATAAACCAAAAAGGTTCAGATGAAATCACAACAGGATTTAATTGTGTGTGCCAACTACTTTGAAGAATGACGTTGGTTTTGAGAATTGCTTTCAGGCCTGCTCCGCTCTGCAACTGCGACTGCGCTCGCTCATGGCAAATAGAGCGATAAGATAATATCTGTTGACTCTTCTCTTGAGCTGCTAGTCGAGAGCAGTAAGACTGAATCAGGGTCAGGACGGTTGTATCAAATACTGCTTGGTCTCTGCTGTAAGAACCAATGTCTTGATTGCAATCCTCTCTCAATATAATTCCACTGAAACATTGGTTATATCTGATTGGGCTGGATTCTTATTTTGGGGACAACAGGAGGTTAGACTACACATCCTGGTGTAAAAACTGAGATGATGTGGTTCAAACCATTCTAAATGCAGAAGGGAACTGCTGTTTCACTGTGTCATTCCTCTTTTTACAGTCCAAATTCAATACGTGACCAAATATGGACTGCATGTGTGTGTCACTATGTGTGAATGTCGCATATCTATATTCTTGTTGTTCACTGTCTTCAGAGACACTATTTTCTTAATGAATTCATTATTTTCTCTCTCTCATTGCCACTCTTAACTTTGGACATGCGTCAGCAATTTTTATTCATTTTCATGTTTACGGACGTCGGGGGAAGATTATTTTTGCTGGTAAATGTTGGGTTTTGTTCAGGTGTAGTTTCAGTCTAAAAAAATGATGAATACGAGCTCTGTGCCTGATTTTGTGCACGTGCCTCAGTGCAGCATTTTATGCAAAGAGGACATTTCATCACCTATGAAAGTCTTCAATTGCCAGATTGGAGGAAATGTGTTTTATTTTGGTGTTCCACAGTCATTTGAATGCACAACGATGGACTTGATCCCTTTGTGCCTCGGTATTTTTTAGGGAAGATTGATGATATTTATTCCTGAAATATGCTTTATTTTTGTGTTCCATGGACTTATTCTGAGGCACAATGATGGATTTGATCCTCTTCAAGTCTTGTGTCTCAGTATTTTTAGGGAGGATTATTGATTTCGGTTTCTAAAATGTTTTATTTAAGTTTTGTTGTTTTTGTTATCAAACATATGTGCTCATGCATGAATCTCACTTGGAACTGGGAACAAGTAGGTGAGAGGGGAGATTTAAAACTCATGATTCGAGTGATTTCCATCATGCTGCAAAAAGTAAATCAAGTGTGGCCGCTGAAAAGATAAATAACAAAGTAGGGAGAAGTTAGACAAAAACACCACCACAGCCACCACAACAAGGAGTTTGAGATGATGGAACTGTTGCCCTAAAATTAACAAAAATATAATATGATGTTAATTTCTATTTCATATTCTTTTTTAAAGAAAGTGATTTATTAAAGTTTTTAAAAAAATGTACAAAGTTGGATACAGCATAACATAAGAGGCCCATGTTGAAGATAAATTTATGAATTGCCTTTTTTATCATTATAAAATGAAGTAGTTTAAACTAATAAAAAGAAAAAGCATATTTTCTAGAATTGTGGTCCAAGTAGTAGCGTATAAAGTAACCAATTGCATGTTCTGGGTTTGTTATCACCACTAATTGTCCCAGCTGTGAAAGGTGTGTGTGTGCTTCTTAAATTGATCAGCAATTCTCCACAGTTATGGTGTCTGGGCTGGAACGAGGTGAGAACGATGGAGCCTGGAGCAGCTGTGTGGATTTTCTGTCATATCTTCTGGGGGCGTGTTTATAAAAACATGTTTTTTGAGTTAATTAAGTGTGGTAAGCTGCAAGGTAGCTTGTCCTCGTCAGAAAGAGAGAGAGTTTGGGGGGCTGGGGGGGGGGGGGGGGTAAAATTCATGTCTCTTTTGATTTTGAATTCGAGCAATTCTCCAGGTCAAACATATATGAAGAATTATCTATGATTGTTGTGGTTGAAAAATGTGGAGTAACCTTCTCCTCAACCCCGGCTGCATACCACCCCCGTGTCAGAGGGATTGTAGAATTTTAAAACATGGCGTAATTTCTGTGGTCTGTATTGAGATAAGTGGGTGCTGCACTCAGATATACAGTAATAACTCGGATCTTTTCAATGGGGGAAAATTATAGATTTTACAGATACTGTATTTTTAAGTCATAATTTCTTGAAATAACAGCATTCCTATCAAGTGGTTGAACAAAATTGAAAAGCAGACTACCTTGTAGTTCTATTCTATGCATTAAAAACAACACAAATGCTATACAAAAATATTATTTTTATGATTTTAAAATGATGTATCTGAAAGTTTGATAATTTTTGCCCATTGAAAAGATCGAGCCAATACCGTATCCTTACCATTTGAAGTGATATCTGAATCTTTTTTTGTGTCTGTGTGGTTAGCATCTTTCTGCGGGCAGCTCTGTCTGCTTCTAGCGCCTTTCCACATTGAGTGTTGTCATTGTCATAGCTTAACGAGGCTCTACCATGTTATTACGTTGTATAGGGGGACTTAACTCCCTGTGACAAGTTTAACGCTTGCTCTCTTCCAACTTTTTAGGGGAAAGTTGATGAAATTGGCTATGTCAAGTAAGTGCGTTGGAAACGAGGAGGCGTGTCATTCATTCAAGCTGAGTGGATTTAGCGAGTCCCCCCAGAGTTGGGACGATCCATGTAGACTGATGTTATCTATGGGAATGGGGTCTTCGACATTTGGCATATGTGTGTTGTCATTGATCAATGTAAATCGGTGTCATATCATTGAGAAAAGATGGCATCTATGCCTGAATAAAAATGAGTCATAACTATGGGCTGTTTCAGCTTGCATGTTGTCCCTGTGAAAATGATTTTCATTCTCCGTTTTTCCCTGTGGTGGTTTGTAATTTAATCCAGTGAGTTTATAATCTGTTGATGTTAATAGCTCACAGCAAATAGACTGTATGATATCAAATAGAACTGTTGTATCATTTGATGTTACATGGGGCAGTGACATGATGTGAAGCAAGGTTTTTTACTCTTTTTCTCTGTCAAATGTATCTAAAGTTTATAGGAAATGGAAAAATATATTTCCTAGGTTCTACTCCAAAGTCAGAATTTTTTTTTTTTTGAAGAGATGTTTTTTTCATGCTTACAAACTGTCAGTACAATTGTAGAATCAAAACAGATACTAGTATAGAATTACACCAGCTTTTACTGCTTTTGTGTTGCTGCTGTTTGTTCCTTGATGAAAAACAAAAAACTTCCATGTAGCCAAAGTTTGCTGAGAGGTGGGTAAACCAGTAATAATCAATTTTTCATGTATACCTGTGTTTCATTGCTCCAATATTGTATTACCATTTCAGCTTCTCTTTATCATTAAAAATGTTTACTCTTACTTTGACACCAGCGATCAAGGTCATGTTTTTATGTTTTGCTGTGAAGACTTCCCTGCAGTAATGTTGGTTCGATTTTCCTATACTTGACACACAATTCATCAAGCCTGGCTGAACTGTAGTCTGAACAGTGTAAACAAGTCTTTTGCTAGTACCCTGTGTAAAATGTATATACGTAGCCATATTAACAGCAGCAGACCAACAGGTCTAAAGATCAAATATGGCGTCCCACTTAAAAGCCTGCGGTATAATCCTTTAATAGACCCTGAATAGATTCCCTGCAGGGATTACGCCATATTTGATCCGCAGATATGTTAGTCCACCGTTGTGAAAGTGGGCCATGTCTGGCGTGATGGGTGTTTATAGATGTTGTCTGCTCTCTGTGTAGAAGTTTCTGTCCTGCTGTTGTTTACTGGCTTGCGACTTCATAAAGATTTTTGTTAGTTCCAAGAGATATTTTTCACTGTCCACACAAGGGTTTTTGTCCTAATGTTCTTTGTTTGTGTTATTTCATAAAAAATTGTCCCAGAAGGTAGAATTTATGTTGCGAATTGTTGTCAATAAAAAAAAAAAAAAATGGAATATGAGCCTGGTAAACCTGCATTTTTCTCATTTTATTGGAACTTTTCCTAACAAATGAAATTTACAAAAATATACGCATTGAAATAAGCCAGAGCCAATGTGTATTCTTAGGTATTTTGTAGGTGGAAAAGGTTAATCACCTTTGACGTTATGGTTTGAAGCCACTGCCTTTAGTTTTGTCATTGAAATCAGGATCCATGACATTTTAGCACTGTTGATATGTGATCTATAATATTTCTTTTATTAGCTTAACTCATAAACTATTCATGAAGGCAGGCTGTTGTTAGTAGATCCATCATTGGTGGAATGTCTTGTTTTTAGTTGACAAAGAGCAAATTAAACTTGACCGACAGAACTTTATTGTAGGGTAGAAATCAAAAGAAAGTTTATTCATTCGGATGTTGTACTGACTGTGTTTCTTTAAACCAATTAATGTTGTTGGCTGGAGTCTTGTTTTGTGAAAGGTTGAAAAAATTAATCTCCTTTTTTTGTTGAACTGGATATTTGATACGACTTTAGGCAATTTGTGTGGAAATGTAGAAATGATGAAAATGAATATAATCAGAGAAAGTTGTGCAGAGGCATACTTATACAAGATATCTGAACTTCTGCTGTTAGCATTGTTTCTATTGATATTTCTAGTAGTGAGTAACTTTGATCCACTGGAAAAGCATTTATTTCTGTTGACTTGTCTTACAGTAAACAGTGTTTAAGTAGACCTTGACAGCGCTGATATTATCACCTATAATAAACTAAAGACTGACGCTTCTCTTGACCAAGTTTCTATTTGTCACTTTTTTATTTCAAAGCTAACCATTTAAAGTTTACTTTGTAAGGAGTGAAGGAAACATTTGGAATTCTCCAATGGTTGTGTTGCATATTATTGATGTTTATAAATTTATTAAGTTTGATTTATTCATCCTATGTCCTGCCATATATGATTTACACATTTTAAGCTTGATATGGTTCATCTTTTTTTGGAACTTTTCTGCCCAAATCTTGGAATATTTCAACCAAGTTTCTCATTTTATTTCAGACCTATGATGGAGAACTTGGCAAGGAGATAGAGCGCCTGAACAGCATGCTGCCCCCAGAGAACGATGACTGCTGCGTTCCAGGCTCCTTCGGTACCATGCAGAAGGTTCCCTCCATGAGCGACCTCTCAGACGAGAGTCTTGGTGAGTCCGTGCTTGGTTTTATGTACCCCCTTCATTGTTTTATGTACAACAGGGTAGACATTTCCTTTTATTTGCTAGAGTGCTTGCAAAAGCTGGGAAAAATTGCCTAGAAAATTTATGCTGTAGACAATGCTTATTTATCTGTAAAATTTTGCATATTTGGGAAGGAATTCTCTACCCTTGTGCACTTCTGTATCCATCTGTTAAATTTCACTTTTATGCCACAAATTGCATCGATTGATTTTTCCAACATTGTTTATCCCAACTTCTTAGCATGGGTGCTTGATTGTAGTTCTCCATTATGTGTTTTGTTTTTTTTCACTCAGGAATGACAGACACTTACCTGGTCTTGAGGGGAGATCAGACATCCGTGTCTAAAAGTTAGGGCTATATATTTTATGTATTGTGTTTTATTTATTTTATTCATATTTGTCCAAGCCTACAAGAACAAGGGCTTGTTTCAAGAAAGGACTTAGAGATTGGTCTAAAGTTTTTGTCTGTTTTTACCCAAGACAAATCAGCACTTATCAAGTCCAATTAAGTGAAATATTGCACTTGTTTTACAACATGCAAAACACGGTCAATGTTTCTGATCTCTGTTGTCTGTATTTCAGTTTCACTGGGCCCTGGTTTCACACACACAAAAAAAAGAAAATTGTCAGGTTTCCTGGCTAAAAACTTAATTACCAAGGTAACATGGTCACATGGGCATATCTTACCCTATCAGGAACAGTGCACTCTCTTGGAAATCCTAGTCAACTAAGCCAGGGAACTGACTCAAGTTTTTTGTAAAGCCTGGGCTTATTTTGAACTGAAGTTGACAAAATTTTAGGCCTAAATGCTGGACCAGTTTACAGATATGCAAGNCAGCACTTATCCAGTCCAATTAAGTGAAATATTGCACTTGTTTTACAACATGCAAAACACGGTCAATGTTTCTGGCCTCTGCTGTCTGTATTTCAGTTTCACTGGGCCCTGGTTTCACACACACAAAAAAAAGAAAATTGTCAGGTTTCCTGGCTAAGAACTTAATTACCAAGGTAACATGGTCACATGGGCATATCTTACCCTATCAGGAACAGTGCACTCTCTTGGAAATCCTAGTCAACTAAGCCAGGGAACTGACTCAAGTTTTTTGTAAAGCCTGGGCTTATTTTGAACTGAAGTTGACAAAATTTTGGGCCTAAATGCTAGACCAGTTTACAGATATGCAAGTTTAGAACATGCTCTAGGAATTGGTGTGCTGATGCAGCATCCTTGACAATCAATCATCATTGACCTTTTAATTTCCATCTACTGAGTCTGAGCCCTTTACAGTTTCTCATTTTGAATATTTTTATACTTGAGGTTTCAAACATTTAATTACCAGTGATCTTTTAGTTTATTAATTGGGTAGTTTAGAGAAAACAGGACACTTTTTAGGGGGGTCATTTTTTATGTGATTTAATATTGAAAAAAAATGATGGTGGATAAATAAATCAATGCAAAAAGATGTTCAGAAATCACTTAAGTTTTTTACAGCTTCCATTTGATAATATATATCATCTTAAGATGATACATATTATGGTTTATGTACTTAAAATGGTTTATGCACTTAGAATGTTTTAAGATTATTTTTCTTCTTGCAATTTGGTGCACATGTTTTGATATATATATTGATTTGAAAGATAACAAGAGATGAACATGCAGTAGAATGCGAAAGAATGGGATTATTTTCAGTTACTGTCAGTGTGAACATTTTATTGTGATATGTGTTAAACTCAATGTAAACATATTTGTAAGATAAACGCCTGCCTTACTTGGTCAATTTTGAATGGTTTACCTTATTATGGATCTTTAGAGTTCCAGTAAAAGTGACAAAAATCTGCCAATGACTGGTTTGTGTACAGTAATTTGTTGATGAATTCAAACATAAATGTTTTGCTTTATATATTTTTTAAAAAATAAATATTGACTCAAGAATTTTGAAAAATTATTGGGCTCAGTGTCAAAAAATAAGTTGTGAGTATCTAAAAATGATGAATCTAAGAAAATGTAAAAAGTTAGAAAAACTGAGGTGTTAAAAAAATGAAGTAGTTGTAGCACCATTGGTGACTGGTTTTGACATATTCACTGACCCATTTATGCCACGGTCAGTGACTCCATTCAACCTCCACAGCCTACAGCAACAATGTGACAAATATTGCTCAATTTGGACGTCTTCTAATGTTCCTGCCTCGAGGGTTCACAAATATAGTCTTGGGTTTATAAATGGCACATAGGAAGTAGTGGACATGTACTCTGTGTGATAGATTGAGTAATTGTGTATGGAGGAGCCCGACTGTGCAGTCTGTGGACCCATAGATTCAGAAAACTTACACGGATTGTTGGCCATCTAACACGCGAGCGACGCAAATCGGGTTTCACTTTTTGAATTGAAGCCAAGCGTCAAACCCAGAAGATGCATAGCCAAAATAATGCTTTGTAGATGTGCAGAAGACATGTAATTGAACTTTGTCTTGATTTCTTTGAGGTCACTGGGGCTTAGTGAACCTTTTTCTTCAAGTCATTGGCTAATTTACTGTCATCTCTGTGTAACATCACATTCAACTCATCTTCGACAATGGACAAAGTGACCCTGAAACTAACCAGTGACTTGTGTCAGATTGTATTTATTTTCTGTTTTGTTCTTAAAAAGGTTTTCTTTTTCTCTGTAAGTCTGTTCTCAAACTTTTTTTAAAATAAAAAATGTATTTTGTAAACATTGAGAATGTCCTTACATACCCTGACAAGAAAATGTCAACGTTTTATTAAACCTCATCATTCCAAGCATTAACCATACAGAGACAAATGGCTCGCAAAGAAACAAGCATTATCAACGTGACTGCGACAAAGAATATTATAAATGAACAAGGCATTGTCCATGAATATTGAATTAGTTTTCTTTACAGTGGATGACTTAGAGGGACTGAGCTCTTCATGATGCCGTTAAGTACAGCATGGTGTGAGCATTAGCCATCTTCCTTGCTCGTCTTTGAAGCTGAATATAATAAAATGTAATAACTGCCCATGCAGCTAATTTGTCACTTCAGCTGTAAAGGAAGCACTTCATCAAAAAGATGCTAATGCCATTATCCTTACTGTGGACAAATGGTTGATTGCGTTCATTGGGAGACCTGCGTTGACAGAACAGCGTTAAAAGAACAGCGTAGCTCTGTGCTGAGATGGCATTGTGATGGTCTACACAAAATAATGAGACTAAGAGTTCAACTGAGTCTCCATCAAATGACTATTTCCCGACCCACCCTTCCAGCCTCCTTCCCCTATTGAAAGCCACAGAAAGCCGCAGTCTGTGCGGGGGGAATTTGAGTCGAGATCTTTCCCAAACTAGGCCAATTACTAAGTTGCTGAATCTGGTTTGAATGTTATTAAATTTATATTTTATTTTATTTTTTAGAGGGAGAAGGGGGGGGGGGGTCTGGTACTGTTTTGTTCTTAGGGAGCTGAGACAGCTGTCAGAGTGGTTGGGAAACTGAGGCAGCTTTTCAAAGCAATGGCAGTTTTCTCTGCAGAAAATTAACTTAACTTACAGCACCTGGTGGTGATAACTTACCGTTGCTACGGTAACCCATCAACCCCCAAGGCCTTTGGAGCTTTGCCAAATCTGATCATGTTGGGGATAAACATCAGGTTGGGCTGTGGAGAATGAAACTGCCTGGGCTGATGTAGCCTAAATCTTTAGAAATAATTGAAATTTGTAGGGTAATTCAATCACAAAGATGGCTGAATGGTTTTTCTCTTCCTCCAACCTTTTCTGAAGCCTTTCGCCATATTTGATGCCCTTTACAGATCTAGTAAGCTGCGGTAATTTCTCACTTAATTTTTTCATTGCTCAGTTAATGATATTTTTTAGGCTACATAATGACGTAAAGAAAAAAATTGTTCTTTACATCTTGAATATGGTTAATTTCAAGCCGAAATAGGTTCTTTTTCTTGAATGATAGCACAACCCATCTCTCCTGAGATGGTCTTAAAACAGTTTTGTTTAACCCCTGCCTGTTTGGAACCTCTCTCTCATTAGTAACCTTTTTTTTTCTAATTTTGTTTCATGTCACTCTATGACCCCATTCCCAGAGATTAGACCAATCCAACTAGTTCGACCTATCTCCCTGGGGGTTCATGCTAAATAGCTGTCAGCCGAGCGGGCACGAAAGTTATTACCCCCTTACAGCTTGTAGTAGGCGGGACGGACATTTAAGCCAGATTATCTGACAGTAACCAAGTGAGACTCCCCACGGGGATAGATCGATCTAAAATCTATGGGAATGCCCCCTAAAATTCTCGTTATTAAGGTAGACTGCCGGAACTTTGTGTCATATCAGAGGACTTGTGTAACTAACTTTTTTTTGTGTGTGCGTCATCAGAATGTTGTAAAAGGTTACCGAGGAATTAACCTGTGATGTTGCAGGACTGTTGTCAAGAAAGACAATTAATATTTGTAACCTTTAGCTGAAGTATTTAAGAAAATGACTAGCGCCTCATTAACACAACCAGTTTGACATGCATGTACCAAGTTTGAAAATTCTAAAGTATGGGCCCTTTCCCAATGTAACTATGGCTCTGTTCTCACAACTTTTAGATCGATCTATCACCGCGGGGAGTCTCACTAGATTACTGTCAGATAATCCCCCTTAAGTGTCCGTCCCCGCCTACTACAAGCTTTAAGGGGTAATTAACTTTCGTGTCCGCCCGGCTGACAGCTATTTAGCGTGAACCCCCAGGGAGTTAGGTCGATCCAATGTAGGTCGATCTAATCTATGAGAATGGGGTGTATCATTCCACGCAGATCACAGGGACTCTCCCTTATGAAATCATGTCAAAAGATTAACACGCCTCCTCCTGGCATTGAGTAGACTACAAAATAGGTGGTGATTATACAAGTACGGCGGAAACAAGAGAAGATGTGTCATTCAGTTAATAATCTGATTGCATTCAGGAAGTTTCCAGTGGATTTGGGTCGA